TTAAGGTTTCGGGTGCTCATGCTGGGATGTTGGGTTGGCATTCCAGAGGAAAAGCCACAGAGTTGCCTTAGTTTGAGCTCATACCTACCCCTGCTGATGAGTTATAAGAGTTCTTTGCTGGCTTGTCCTGCCCTCCCCCAACTCCAGCCTCCCATGAGTACCAGCGGGTGGTTTGGGCAGGGCTTCACTTTTAAGTGCCAGTTTCATTATTTTGAATGTGAGTTAGATCATCTTTTGGTTATCTTTTTCTATATATTTTCTAGAGCTTTACATATGAGAGGGTGTCAGAGGTGTTTATGAAACACCTTATAACTTTCCCCCTTAATATCAAAAAGCAAAAAAAAAAAAAAAAACCATGGTTGATATTTACCTTTGAAACTCTCAGGTTTGCCTCTAAACAGGCAGCCCTGGTCACCATCAGAGTACTAGAATACTGGAACCAAGGAGACCATATTCCTTCGGTGAGCTGGTTCTGGACTCTTGGAGCAGAAATGGAAAGGGTCTGTTCCCACTGGAGTTGACTTCCTAGTCATTTGCCCCTGAAAGACCCCAGTGCCTTCTGAATGGCCAGGTTTGCCATACTTCCCTCCATTCTCTCCCAAAGGAAACTCACTGCAAATGCCCCCGTTTTCCCCTGGAGTCCTAGAAGGAGAGAGGATTCTGGTTCATACTGTGGTCCTTTGTAACCTCGGGTCTTTAATGTGATCATTTTCCAGTTTAAAAGATCCAAGTGGAAATATTTTTACTATGCTGGTAACCTACAAAATACCTGAGTTCTCCAGTGTGAGTGGTGACTCTTTTCATGCCTTTTACTTGATTTCATTCCTGTAATGCAGCCCTCCAATTGGGAGGATGGAAGATAATATATGGTGTTTATCCAAATATGTTTCTCAGTGTGTTGTTTTGGAAAAATGAGGGGAAAGAATTTTGGGAGATTTGGAGGAAATGAATCTCCCTGGAGATTGGAGGGCTTAATCTCTCTCTTTTTCATCAAATAAATAAAATACTTTTTCTGAAAAAAATAATAAATGGGATGATGTAGATGATTTTGCTGCTGCTTCTGCTGCTGCTGCTGCTGATTGATTAATTTTAAGGATGTGAATGGTTGTAAGGGTGGGCACTTCTGAGAGCCCAGTGACGGAAATTGAATGCTTCTGACCACAGTCTTTGCCATGGCCCAAGTTTCAATGTGATTTCTACAGTACACACACCTTTCCTTCCCAGGCATCATTAGTTCTACTCCATGTGACACCCAAGCCAGCTGAGACGACATGTAAAGGCCAAAAACGTGGGGTTATGAGGAGCCCATGAGTGGAACACCTAGAAGAAGATTCTGGTTGGCAGCAGTGTATACCTTTGATTGAAAGGCAGGGGCTGATCAGAGAGAAAGGGGCAAAAGTCATCAGCCATTGGCCCCTACTAGCAAGGAATAAAAACCTCTTCTTGGCGCAGACATCTGCAGCTCTGACTTAGGGAGCAGAAGTCACAGCTTAGCACCATTGCCAGGGTAAGTGGGTAGAAAAGAATCACAGACAGAGATTCACAGACATGAAACGGCAAAGCATGTCGTCTTTGGAATCATAGCACTGTGTTGCCTGCGCAGGCTTGTTCCACTTTCTTGCTCTTCTGCTGCCAGCCTTTGCGATCATGGAGTAGCCAGCTGATATGGACCTAACTGGTTCTAACCAGTGCTTGAATGTACCCCACCTGAATGGTACTCCACCTGAATCTTACTCAGCTGAGGTGAGCATCAAGTACGTGGTCCTGCAGCAAACTGGACTATGTGGAGTTTCTCTGAGAGCAGCGGCTTCAGGACAGCTCCCCCAAGAACACCCAGGGTCTGGTGGGTGTCCCATGCTCACCAGAAGGGAGCCAGACAACTGCATGCCTGACACTGGAGAGCTGTAGGAACTTCACTGCACCCATGTCCCACCTGAGAACAGGAAACATAGTCATTATAATTAGCTACCCAAACGGATGAGAAACTGGGGATTTGGTGTAGGTTTGCACACATTTATACTTTTCCCTACTGTACTTGGTATTGAACCTGGGTCTTACAATTCTAGGCTTGTCCTTAGCCCTGAGTGTATTCCAAGTCCTATTTTTATTAAATTACTTCTTTGTTCATTTGTTTAATTTTTATTATTTTGAGAAGGGAAAAACCCTCATTAAAGGTATGTCCCCTCTGGAAACATGAAAATCATACACTTTACAACTTCAGATACAAAGTACCCTCTGTGAACTGTGACTGTCAAAGATCTGAAACCACTTATACTACAGAAGGAATGAGACAGGAGACTACCCAGTCTGACTCCCAGGAGGCTAGATACAGACAAGCACATAAGCAAGTCAAAGTGAATGTGTCCACAGGTGCGCACATTGTGTGACTGAAGACACCAGCTAGGAAAGGTCAAACTCTTGGCGCCTGTGTCAACAGGACACTTTGGCTCAACCTGGCTCATTGTGGTCCCTTCACACAGAGGCCATTAAGAATTGGCACCTACCTTATCACAGGCAACTGTGATCCCAGGCCAGCCTTGGCCAGCCTTGAAAGGCCCTCCCTTCAAAGGCACATCATCTGGTCCAGTCCTTAGTGCTTGGGAGGAGCTGGCCTTTGTCAGCCCTTTGTTCCCAGTCTGATAACCTGCCCTGTATGGCATACTCCCTGCATCCAGGATTAGCAGAACTCAATGGCTGCTGCAGCTCCAAAGAAACAGGAGGGCAAGGGACCATCAGAGACTGCCTCCAGGATGTGCCCCCTCCCCACCCCTGAACTTGGATAAGTGATTTGGCTCCAGAGAACCACTGGAAACATGAAATCAAGAGATCTACTCCCTGAAAGGTGACACAAATTTCACCTAAAAGATAACTCCATTTCCCACAAATGTCCAAGAAAAATAAGATCCAGGACAGTTGGGTTCTGTCTTCTAACTTGACATCACATGAAAAAATTCTAAGCTCTGCCCTCTGAGAAAAGGTCAGCTGCCATTTCGTCTTTACATCTCACATTTCACCATGCCCATAGTGGAACCTTTGGAGGTGGAGCTGCAGCTGGGGTTCAGAGTGTGACTGGGGAGAGGCCTCCAATGAACATGCTGAGCCTACTTGAAGGCAGAGCCAGGGAACAGGGACAAGCTCTGTCCCCAGAATGTGGGGGTTTGAAGCCAGCATGAGTGACCCTCCGTCAAAGCCACCTCCTCTTGCCTTTGAGGCTATGATTATACCAAGCATTATGACAGTATTACAGGGAAAATGGCTACTCCTCCAATGATTAGAACTTTGTAGCCTTCCCTGGAAATGGAAGGAAAGCCTCATGTTCAGAAAATACGTGTGAGAGCCTGGGGACCCGAAAAGAAAAAACAGGTGGGAGGGGGTCAGACTCTACACAGGAACTTCTTGGGAACGAGCCAGAATCAGCATCAGACCACTGACACCATTCGTGCCTCATTCTGCAACTGCACTCAGAGCTTGGGCTCACAGCCTGAGCCCCGACAAGTCATGTTTGGCCACTCTTCCTCAAGAAGCCAATTAAAAGAGCCAAATTTACAGTGAAAGTCACAAAAAGGAGATTTCTTCACTGTGGCCACATTTGGAAAGAGGGACAAAGAGATCCAGTGACCCCTGGCCCTAGTCAAGTCCATCTTCAGGGTCTTTTTGTTTGTTGTTTGCATTTTAATTTTATGTGTATGAGTATTTTTCCTGCATATATGTAAGTGCACCCATGTCATACAGTACCTGTGGAGGCCCGAAGAGGGTGTCAGAATTCCTGGATGGAGTTTTCGATGGTTGTCAGCCACCATGTGGGTACTGGGAACTGAAGCAGAATCCTCCGCAAGAGCAATCAGTGCTCATAACTGCTGAGACATCTGTCCAGCCCCCATCTTCAGGGTCTTGATATAAGGCTTGGGTTAAGTAGAGGGCAAGAGTAATGCATAACTCAGCAGTCCTATCAAGGTGTGGTCCCTCCCATCACTTCATCCCTGCAGGTTCTCCTATAAGGTGGTCTTATGATAAAGTTTCAGCTCTCTGTGAAATATCTTTCCAGGAGACAAATTCCTCTTCTGTCTGGTACCAGGATTCAGATTTTTTTCCTAGCATGAGAATCCTAGGGGATTTTGAGCCATCCCATTCCCTGGAGTGCCTTGATTGATGGCCAATGAGAAAACAAATGTCTCTTTGGAATACCCTATCTGTGACAGGCCTGTTATAAATCCAGAGGAAGAAGAACAGAAAGAGGGGTCACCCAATTATTTAACTCACCTGCTTAACACCCCCTAGGCCACTGTTCTCTGCCAATTTCAGCTTGTCCCTAGATTCCATCCCTCTGTATCCCTTGCTCATGCTGAGGTTTTTACATGGCTGGATGCTTCATACTGAATATGTCTGAGATATGTACTGACACAAGGACATGGATGAACACCCTAACCAAATGTATCCCACACCTGTATCATGGATTCCCATCTTTCTGCTGATCACTCAGTGTGAGTGCCACCTATGTGGACACCAGAGAGGGTCTTTCACAGGACTGGTAACTGTGAGGCTTGTGGCCTCTTCTGTCCTGACATTCACCTAGCAGTCATTTACCCTCATGACTACAAGACAACAGGCTTGTGATGTAAAATAAGAAGGGGACAGATAAGCTGCCCTGCAAGGCATGCCATGGAAGTCTGGATTAGCAGAATTCAATGGTTTCTTTTCCTCCAAAGGTAGAAGAACAGAAACTCAAAGAACCAGGAGGCCCCAGGGAGTGAGGGGCATTACACACTGTCTCCAGGATGGGCCTACCTCTCCCCTTTCAGGAAGCACTCTCACAGGAACAGGAAGATGCCAACAAAAGTCAGAACAAAGAGCACGTGCTGATTTTGGAAAGCAGACTGCATCACGCCTCTCTTGTCAGCACACTGACATCATGTCCCTTCCTCTCTCATGACCTTTCTGAGGAACATGGGTCTATAAAAACAAGATGCACCTTTGCAGACAGCAGTTCGGAGGCAGGAGCAGGAGGAGAGGCAGCTTCTGGAGACTCTGACCCATCAACGCTGGGCAAGGTAAGGACTTGCTGAGAGGAATGCACAAGGAAGTGGAAATCAGGAGGGAATGAGCAGGGGACAGGTCATCTCAGGACAGATGAAGAGGGCTTACTCACTGAGAATCTAGAATGTTCCTGTGTAGAGTGCTGTGCTTAGCATGGGGTGGTAGATAACAGTTACTTATTGTGAAATTGATTTTTTTTTAAAAATAGAAAAGTTATTGTTAGAATTCGCCAAGAGTTCCATCAAGTCAAAATAGAACCACGAACTCATTAACCAACACACGTTTCCTTAAGTATGCTTAGCTATCTGACATACTGTTCAAATTTCCCAGAGATCAGCGTGAAATGAGAAAAATGATGAAAACGTGATTCATCATTCATGGCAAAGGCTTCACTTTATTTGTAGCCATTTCAGTGGTAACGGCAACAGAAGTCTCGCTTTTGCTAGTGTTTGTTCACAATGCCAACCTAACAATAATCACATCCATTCTCTCAGATTCATCATCTTCTTAGAAATAGGCTAGTCCTTCCCTGGACTGTTACTGCAGGTAACAGTAAACTATGGACCTTTCAAAGGAGGATGGGAGTAAGGAAAGACTTTAAAGGTGAAAGGAGGACTAATGACCAGAAATGTACCAGCTGAAGGCTGAGCAGACCCTTGCTGGCCAGTGACATCACAGGAGTATGCTTTGTGTCAGGATATAGTAGAATCTGTGTGGTTATGGCTGAGGTTTTTGCGAATGTTCTTGTTATCAGGCACATATGTATAAGATCCTCTCCTTCATAAACCCAGATTCAATTTACTTACTTTGGGAGTCAGGACTTGATAGAAGAGACTTCATGATGATTCTCACAACTCCTCCAAAGGTCAGAGCAAAGGTCCATGTTGTGAGTGTACTCTGCCACAAATGGATGGACATATCTGTGTATTTCTACAATGTCAAAATTCACTGAATACCAACAAATTCACAAGGTTCAGTGGTTTCAATGACAGCAATTTACCAATAATCTTGCCTATCTTGGAAATCTAGTTTAGAGGAATATATTTTCTTTTATTCCAGTCTTTGAAATTTATTTTACTTTTAATTCTATGTATATGTGTGGATATGTGCTCATAGAAGCCAGAAGAGGATATCTGATCCCCTGGAGCTGGAGTTACAGGTGGTTGTGAGCTGCCTGGTGTGGATGCTGGGAACTGAATTCAGGTCCCCTGTAATAGTAATAAGTACTCCTGTCTCCTGAGCCATTTCTTTAGCCCCTTTTATTCCAAATTGATTATGATTAACATTAACTCATATCACACAGCACACAGTAAATATATCTCTATAGGAACGCAGATATGTAGTTTATGGAATGAATACTTATATTCAGAGCGACAGCATAGTTCAAAAGATTTCAGCTATAGGCTGACAGAAATGGTAATAGATGAACTTATTGATGTATGTATGAGCTAACAGCCCAGAACCAGCCTCAGGAATGAAACTGTTGCTGACAAGTAAAGGAAGAATCAAGGTTGAGAATGAAGATGTTGCCAGCTGCAGAGAGGATTGGGCAGAGCTGGGTCCTGAGCAGGAAATGGCAGATTCAGGTCCAGATGGGCCAACAACAGGCAAATGGCAGATGGCAGCTGAGTAGGCTGCATCAACAGCAGGGGACTGAGCCAGGCTGACCCCAGGGGCAGTCAGAAGCCCTCTGCCTGTGGGTTCTTAATTCACACCAGGTGTAGATTGGTGGGGCCATGTCCTCACACTACGAGTTGTCCATCACTTTATGGGGTCCATTCAAGAGAGTGAAATCGTTTCCTGGGTCTGGCATGTCCAATAAGTACTTGGGTCTGATTTCTCTGATATGATTTTGCCCATGTGCCTCTGTCTCAATTCACCCCAATAAACTTGTAGGTAAGCACCCTTTCCATTCCCAGCCATGTCTTTTATCATTTGTGCTACATGGGTGGTGCCAGACAGAAGATTTTGTTTGAAGCTCCACTCAGAAACAGTCATCCTCTTACCCTCAACACTGAAACAAAAGTTGCTCTTAAAATGGAGTCTTTCAAAGCAAGGCATAGCCTGAAATTAAAAAAAAAAAACATTGTTTTATGCAATATGGAGTAATTTAGAGAAGGGCATAGCCTGAGCTCAACAATCCTCAGCCCTGATTTTCCTAAACTTGATGGTTAAGAAGGACACATGAGAAGAAGCTTGAGAAGAAACTTCTTAAGGGAAACTGTCAGGAAAGACAGGCAGGGGATGAGCAACTCAGTGATAGCTTAGGCTTTGATTCACTCGAAAGAAGGCTGAGGGGGTCTCTGGGAGAAGAGCCAGAGCCCACCATCTCCTTAAAGGCTGGGGTACTAAGAGCACAGAATGAGGGGTGGGAAGGAGAATGGAAAGCTTCATTTGGGCACAGAAATGGCCATTGCCAGAGGTAACCGGGGAGTGGAGAATTAAAGAATGTTAGGTGTTAAACGTCTCTCCTGACAGGCAATTATTGAGGGTTGATGAGGTGGGGAAGGCAAGAATCTAGAGAAACAACTTATTTCTGTTCTGGAAACCACATTACTTTGATTACTGGAATTGTTATACTTCAACAAGAACGGGGGAGTTTTACAAGAATGGTGTATCCACAGCTAACAGACATGAAGTTGACATGACTAAATGTTAGAGAGCGACGACCTGAGTTTGATACACAGGACCCACAGGATGGAAGGAGAGACCCAACTGCCACAGGTTTTCCTCTGATCTACACACATGCTGTGCCACAAGCAAAACACAAATACACACAAATAAATAAGTATGATTTAAAAAATTTAAGGATAAGTAAAGAGAGGTAAGAACTTGGAGAGTTATGGCGAGAGAAGAATCTGAGCAGGAGCAGTACGAAGTGATATCCAGAAATTACCAGCATAGAACAGCAGTATGATTGAGTGGTACCACTAAGACCCTCGGGGAGAAATGAGAGAAGGAATGTGCTCCAGTCCCTAGGTGTGCTATCACAATTATGTAAGCTGTCACAGGGAAAGTACTTTAACACACTGATCACTACTAACTTGATTCGCCAAGAAGGAACTTAGGGGAAGACCTAAGATTGTAGCTATGGAACAGAAAATTATTCATGAATACAGATGGTGACTGAGACACCACCAATAGGCTGGGGGTAGTGGTAGACACTTGCTAATAGGGCAGGGCCATATGGCATCCCAGCACTGAGAAACAAAAATTAAATGAAATTCTATATTTGGGAATAATGGCAAGGGTGTTTAACAGCAAAGGCGGGCAGTGGGATATATATATATATATGAAGTCAGGTGTCAGGACAGCCAACACTCACAGTACATTTAGGCATCATTGAAACAACTAGGAGAGAGCTGTTGCTCAAGGTGTTTACTGCCAACCATTAGATGATGTTACCATGGATACAGAGTGAAAATTGGAGGGTCTGTAATGTGAATGTCAGACTCCCTCAACAGCCAGGGAGCCAGCAATTCGAACCACACTTACAAACAAATCTAGAATGGAATGGGTAACCCATTTCTCCTCTGCAGGATTCAGCAGCCAAGATGTGGACTCTCTGGGTCCTGACCATCATGTCAAGCATCCAAGCAGGAACATTTGACCTGCTGGAATCAACCCCAGCATTGGGCAGCCTTCCTGCTGTACCACAACCTCTGCCCAGCCTCAGTACTCTCCCTCTTAACTTGCCAAGCTCCTCAGGACTCAAAACTTCCTCAACCAAGCGAGTCCCACCTCCCCAGAAGCGACCAGTCCCCTCCAAAGGTGGCAAGTGTGCACCTGTGGTCAGATACTTTGTATCAAGCAACAAAATTGAGGAGTGTAAGTAGAATTACCTCAGGTATCATGTTCAGTCATGTCTAGACTGTCCACATGGAATGGGTCTGGGTCACAGAAAAAACCCCATCTGCCAAAACTTAAATATAATTTGAAAACAGGGAAAACATAATTAAGACAGAGGGGAGAGAGGAAGCAGTAGGAGGCCGCAGCAGGACAGAGCCCCTTGATCTTTTTCAGATCTGATGAACACACTGCCTCCACAGATCGAGCAGATGGTGACATGTGAGGAGATAGAATTGGGAGGCGTGCTCGGTACCGTGTTATCCACAGTGGACAAGGCTGACCTGCTCTCAACCTTAGATATCTCTTCACTCCTAAGTGTTGGAGGAGGCCTTGGACTCAATGGTCTCCTAGGCAACGGAGGTGATGGTGGGTCTGCAAAGAAACCATCACTGTCCAAGGCTACTGCTGGTCTTGGTCAGCTGCTCCCAGGGGGCCAGGAGGGCCTGGGCAGAGTGCTATCCCTCGGTGGAGACAAGGGCACTGGAAAAGGACTCCTGGACGGAGAGGGGCTCTCCAATCTCCAGAAGCCCCTGGATGACGTGGTTGGAAAAGTGGGTGACGTAAAAGAATCTGCCCAGGATGTGGTCAAGGATGTCCTCCCGTCAAGTGTCAAAGATCCAGTCTCAGACCTGCTGAATATCAAAACACAAGAACTCCTGCTGAAGTAAGTGCTTCCTTTACCCCGAGGCTTTGGCACCAAACAAGCTGCTTACAAGGAAGGCTCACATTCAACCCTCAGCAATCCCACTGACAGCCCCCTTTCACAGAGCAGTATACCCACTTCCTCAGAAACCCTCTGGAGAAAAAACAATCAGAATTTCTGAAGCTTAAACCACTGGCTGGGGAAGGGTGCTGTGGGCCACAGGAAAGACAGAGCCTCAATAGGTTGTGACCAGGCTGCCTCACAGGTAATTCTCCTGCAGTCCAGTCTGCTTCCCTTAACCAGAACTGAATCTGTGCTGTCACTTTGCAGATTAACTGTCCAAGGAGCCACTGTGGACAGCACGGAGATAACCATCGAGGATGATGAGATCCACGTCCACTCTGAAGCCACGGCCACCATAGGGGGACAGGGGTGAGCCTGTTTCCACAATGCTCCCTGGTCACCCAGAATTGGCCTGCTAGTCCCCTATCCAAGGGCCAGACTGAGAGCACTGGGCCAGAGGGAGAGGATCTGCTGTTCCAGGCCAGCCTGGATTACACAGTGAGACTATCTAAAAACAAAGTATAGCAGAACCATTTGCCTAGTCTAGGACTTCCCACGGTAAGGAGACCAGCCTTGCTCATGGTGAGATTTGCTTCTGTATTCTACTCTAGAAACAAGGCCTGAGTCCTAGAGTCACAGGTGCAAATCTGAGGTAGCTTGTGCCAATAGCAGCAGACCACCTCCTCAAGACTGATCAGGACAGTGATTAGTCAAATGTTGTCAACAGTGAGCAGCCCTTGATTCTGAGGCACAGGGCTGCCAGCAGAAGTGCATGAGGCCTGGGAAGCACCAATCTTTCCCTCTCCTACATGAACCTTGACATATGCACGAGGCCGATCCCATCCTGTGGCTTGAGCCCCACCTCTGAGGCAGCTTTACATTCACCTGCACCTTGTTCTCCACAGCGCACTGGGACCTGCTATCAGTCTACTGGGATTTGGGGCCAAGATGGGTGTGACTCTGAAAATTGGAATCTCCTCCAACAACACCCAATGTGTCACCCTGGAAGTCCAAGATAAACATATCCAGATCAACCAAGTGACCATTCAGTTAGTAGAGACGTAAGTAACATCATTTCTCTGGATCAACTCCTGTGTGTCAGGAGATTGCCCTTGTTCCCAGCCCAGGCATGAGCTGCTCCATCAAACAGGTTTGGACAATGAGTAAATGCAGGCCTAGAGAACGACCTGCCTAACATTGTCCCCCAGTGTTTGAGAGCAGTGTTTCCCATGTACCTTATATCTTGCTGAGAACTACATTTGAATAATTCATTCTCTTTTTTTCCTAAACAGTGCACTCACCTGAGTCAAAACTGAGAATAAAACATGAGGCCACACAGTGAAAATCTCCCAAACCTGGGAAGCGGGTCCTGCTTCTCTCCTGAGGCAATCATGGGACTCAGGCTCTTCTCTTGGTTTACAAAAGTGCTTTTGGCACATGCATGTAAATTTGCATATGTGTATTTACACACATAAAGGGACACCTTGCAAACCACTTGTTTCACATGAAGAATATCTGAGACTACCTTTCCTGAGTATGAAGCCCTCCTGTAAATTATTTACCTGCCCTAGAACACTCTGAGGAGGATGCATTACAATTTCATAAATTGCTCTCAGTATATTATAAATTCAGGTACCCAACTACACAAACAAAGCCATGGACAGATCTGGCTACCAAAGCACTTCAGTAGCTTAGGAATGAGTTCATCCAGGTGCACTGTTCGGTGGCCAGATGTTCCTGTGCTTTGGTCAGGTAATTTGGCATCCTCTATAAGAACTGGAAGCCAAGGTGAAGGTGAAGGTGTACCCAGACATGAAGCAACAGGGCATCATCGCAGCTCCTTCATCAGTCAGTGGGTTAGTCTAAACTAGGGCAAACCCAGAAACATGGGGATCACTCAGTTCTCTACCTGCATCTTTCACAGGCTCGAAGGAACTCTGCCTCTCCCTGTGCCTCTGCCCTTGAGTGATGTCATCTCAACAGTGATGACAGTACAAATCAATGAGAATGTAAGTGCAGGGAAGGGCATGCCCTCAGAGGCCTGCATCACCAGGGGAAGACAGGAAGACCCTCCCACCCCTTAAAGGGTCTGATGCTTGGAGGGGCTTAGGAACAAGGCTTTGGGTCTCCAGAGCACACACACAAGGACAAGCAGCTCTTTGGGCCATATGCCCCTCCAAAAGCACCACAATGCATAGGGAAATGGGAAGTGATGGATAATTCCTGCCAAAAGAGGCCAAGAAAATAGCATCGGGGCAAGGGGTGCAAACAGGAGAAGTGGATGTGGGCTGAGAGGACAGGCTGCTGGGGCCCCTCAGTAAGCTAACCTCAGGTGCCTTCACAGCTAAAGAACTCCAGCTCCTGTGCCATTGTCCTCAGTGACTTCAATGACTGCAAGAACAGTGAGTACAAACTCCCAGCCGCCTGTGAGGGTCACTTGCATCAGTAGACAGAGAAAGTCCAGGCACCATGAGGGATTCCATGGGGTAACAGACCACAGTGGATGGGTCTGTGAGATCCAGTGCCCCCAAACCACAAGCATCCTTTACCACTGTCAAGAAGAGAGACTGTTCCTCTAGACTTATGTCCCAGAAAAGGGAACAGGACAAAGTGCCCCTCAGAAGTCTCCATGGAGCTACCCAACCTTACAAAGACAACACGGAGCTTCCTGGCCCTTAAGCCTGAGGACCCACATCAGGAAATCTGCCGACATCCTCAAACACATGCCAATAGTTACAGATGATAGAACATATGGGATTGGCATTTTCTAAGAAAGCAGAAGCAGGAAACTGGTGACAATTCCAAGTCCCACAATAGACAAATTACAGGGTCTGGCTGGACAGTCTTCTTCCCCAGGGAGGCTTTCATACATCAGTTAAAGACCAAATCCCTGTGAGTTCATCCACACCCATACAAACAGCATCCTTTAAGGTATAGACAAAGACAGTGAGAGCTGCAGCTTTCTGTCTGAATCCAGACAGGAGGAGCTGTCCTTACTGCTACCTAGAGGGAGGGTGGCACTGCAGAGGGACTTTGAGGCACGAGCCATCAACAGTTGTCTAAGCTCAGTCCATTTTCCGCTTCTTCTCCCCTGCAGCTACCGGCTTATTCAAGTACAAAGTTCAAAGTGCCAAGATTTCCCCCAAAGGACTCGCCGTCTTCTATTGTGTAAGTAGTCTTTGTTTCTGTGATGACATCTGGGTGAAGGCTGGCAGCATACCTGAATCCCCCAAATCAATCAGATGTTAGGCAATCAAACAATCAGTCTTTTCTTGTCCCTGCACCACCATGGCTAGATGAAAGTTCACACTGCTAGTAGCCTCATGGGCTCACGTAGCTTTTTCTGTTTTCCTCTCCTCAGGCTGAAGTTGTCTTAGGCAAAAATACAGTCCCTGTTCCTGGAGGTCGCCTTCCTCCAGATTCTAAACCTGCCAACATTTCGCTAACTATGTCCAACATGATGTACAAGCAACTGATCACTTATGCTGCCAAGCAGAGCTCTGTCAAGGTAAGTGTCATCCACTCAGCCCAGCCTCTGCTCCACTCTGAACTACAGAGGGGTGTCACTTCTGAGAAGGTGTGGAGGTAAATGGGGCCTTAGGGGCTCTCACAGATGAATAGGACCAATGTCATAGGATATACATTCCCCTTAGTGATCAGTGTGGAGGTAAATGGGGCCTTAGGGGCTCTCACAGACGAATAGGACCAATGTCATAGGACACACATTCCCCTTAGTGATCAGTGTCACACCTGCTTAGTGTCATTGGGAATAGACAAAGACCAAGATGAATATTTTGAGGGTCATCCATGTGCCGGTACACAGCCATGTGTCCTTATGCAATCAGTGTCATTTAATGGTCAAAAGGGGGCTTTTATCTTTCATTTACAGATGACCTAAGGCACACAAAGAATTACTGAGAGGCACAGTGGGAGCAGTGATAGCAGGTTTATCTGCCCTGAGATTATTTACCTCACCTCTAGAAGTCATGGAAGGAAGTGACAACAGCAAGAGAAACTGGCTGGTCTTTAGGTGCCAGGCTCAGCTGAATAAATATACAAAGTGCTCTTGTCCCAGTGACCCTAACTGGTCCCCAAGAGCCATCCTGACACAAGGGCAGAGAAAAGCACTTCACATTTGCAAAGGCTTGATTAAAATCAAAATTTCTCATGTCCTGTGACCCAACATCCACAAAAGGAAGCAAACAGTAAAGTGCTTGGAAGTGGGCCTCCTGCTGTTTCCTCAGCTGCCCCAGCACCCACCTAGAGGTCCTGAAATAGCTGAACCAAGCCTGAAGGAAGCCTGGCTGGGTCATGATGCAGCATCCACTGTCTTCTCCCTCCTCACACTTACTGATGCCTTCTTTACAACAGATGAATGACCTGGAAGCAAATGTCACCAAAGTGGTCTACGCCTTCCAGAAAAACGGATCCCTTCGAGCCTTTTATGGAGTTGACATAAAAAAGGATGGCGAGAGCTATGCCACCGGGAAAACAGTGAGTGCTGAGAAATGAACGGAGACTGAGTTGGAAAGAGGGCAATGAAGGGGTCAGATGGGATGAGATACTCCCAAACCCCTGAGGCCGGGGTGTCCCTGCTACAGAGGGAAAGCCATGGTCCCATGCTTAACTCACACTCCTTTTTTGTCATTCAGAAATTAACCATTTCCCATGCAAGCAAGATTTCAAAAACCAAGATGGTGCCAGACATCAAAATCACAAGGTAAACTGTCTATTACACAGTCCTCCTGAGGATGGAACAGGCCCTGAAGCCCCTGGCACAAGACAGCTCTGGGAAACCATAACTGGAGGGAGTCGGGGTTTTAAGCTACATGCTCTAATTCATCCTATTTGGGTCAGCTGTTTCTAATCCACAGCTGACTCATTAATAAGCAACTGAGGCAACACTTCTACTCTAAACTTGAGTAGCACTGTCCTCATGAACCTTGTGTTTCTCTTTGCTTTGTTGCTGACAGATATGAGCACAGCGTGGAACACACTGAGGATGTAAGTTGATGTGCTTGTCCATACTGAACTAGGATAACATGCCCAGTTATTTGAATGCCAGATGCTTAGTTACCAGAACTGTGGGAAGAGAGGGCCATGGACCTAGATATAGACTGACTGTGGAGAACGACAGGCATCTTCCTGGTCTCTTGGGAGTTCTTGAAACACAGTGGCCCATGCCCATATTGTATTCCAGTGTGTGGATAGTTGAGTGCATATATACAAACACAAAAAAAAGGAGAAAGTGCACTAAGACTCCAGTAAAACTCGCTGGAGAGAGGTGTACAGTGGGTGCCCAGACATGGGCTTAGGACCTGTTTCCCTATGTCAGCCTGAGATATGGGGATTCAGCCAAGAACACAGGAAGAAGACTTACCAAACACTGAACTGTGAACAGTAAGAGGGAATCAGAGGAGCCAAAGGAACACTGCAGTGACTTAAACCTGCAGGGAGCGTCCCTCACAGAGAGAGAAGGCAGGAGAACAGTAAAGGGAGGCCCAGACCTGAGGTCCTCAAACCCATGTCAGAGTGGGTAGCAGTGATCTGCAACCACAAGCCCTCCCACCTTCAGCCAGAGTTCCTGAACTCCCAAAGCCACCTGCTGGTGGCAATGGAACCCAATATCTCTGCTCCAGGAGGCACAGGGCAGCAAAACCACTAGAGGGCCCTCAAACCTCCCAAAGAAGAGAGCCCAAGTAGAGTCTGAGATCCATCGACCTCCACACTTGAAGTTGACCTGTGACAGGGCTTTTAACTAGAGAAATCCCACAGGAAACAGCATCCTATACCAGTGCTTCCTGAGCATCAGGCCAAGTCAGGCGGAGGAGAAGGCAGTACTGAAAATGTCTCCCCATCTCTTGCAGAAGGGAGATGCAGAAGGCATTCTGCCTGAATTGTTAAAGAAGTTCTGGTCTATTATTAATGGTATGTGGAATTAATAACTCTGACATTGGTGCCAGTGTCCCATGAGAGGAAAGGGGAGGAGACTCACTGTGAAACACTGTAGCACTGAGCACAAGGCCATATTGTCAGCTGCTGGGTCACACAGCACCTTTACTTTCAATAGGGTGATAGCATCTTGAGATGTTAAAAATGAAAGGGAAAATGCCTCTTCTGCAACTCTCAGGAAATATACTCCACAGGTGTTTGGGCACGCAACTGAATGATGGACCTGGGTCACCCACTCTCATAGGCACTGGGGTGATGACATTTAGAAAGCTGAGGTTAGAAGCTCTTTGGACAACAATGATGATGGTGCCACATGACAAGTGTACACATACCTGGTTAATTCTAAAGGGGTTCAAATAATACCCTGACCACCAAATAGCATGGGTCATGGTCGTGGGGTCCTAAATTAGTGAGCCACCTGCCACTCTATCACTTGGCATCAATGTTACGAGACAGCCAAGTGTCCACCTCTTTGGAGCCCTTCTTCCTGGCCATGACACTCACTCCCACACACTGGCAGAGACTATGTAGGTTTGTCTCAGATCACCATGTTGAATGGGTGGGGAAGTGACTTCTAGGGCCACACATAGGACATCGATCCTACATGTGACTATGGCCAAAACAACATGTCTAGGTTACTGTTCACTTAACTCTCATCACAATATGGCCCCTCTTTGTTTCAGAATTGCTTAAACAAGTGAATGTCCCAGAAGGAGTGTCTTCATACACCTTAAGGGATGCCATTGTTAAGTCACTGAAATCGGTAAGAGAAAAAACTAGAACGTTTTATTTGTTTGTTTTCCTTTTCTTTCCTGGGACTCAAACCCCGGACCTTGCCCAAAGTAGGCAAGGCCTTTACCACTGAGATGTATGCGTGTTTCAGAAGTTCCATGCTGGATCTACCTGCCAAATCAGTGTGAACTATGACCCAGAAAACATCAGCTTGTCTCACCGGGCTCAAACCTCGAGCTGCACCTGACCCCATGTTTCCCTGCGCTGTGGTCAAATCAGTTAGCAGAAGGTCAGAGTGAGGCAGAAGCAGCAATTGCTCAGTGATTCTTGTCAGACCCCTACTCTCACACACTGACCTTCTCAGTGGCCTTTCAAGCTCAACCCTAGCCAGCCTTAGTCGGGGGATCAGATCAGATGACGTCATTGTGCTGCAGCTATAGTGACAGGAAGTCCCCACATGAAGCTAAACAACAACAGTAGGATTATAGGCACTGAACAGCCAGCACAGTGCCAGCTTCGGCAAGGGCTTCACTCGAGGTCTGGTGACCCAGCATCGATGTCTCATCTCTACTCTCTCAGGATGGACCCTGTCTTGATCTGTATGGAGGCCCTCTCTAGTCAGGGCATTTACCTTCCGTTTCTTTCTCTGACAGTCTAAACAGCTGTAACCCAGAAATTCCCCTCAGTGCTCACTGGCAGGATGTTCCATCCACATCCCTGAAGCAGTGCTATGGCTGTTGTGCTGGGCGGGATGGGCTGGCTCTTATCCTGCCTGTGCTGGGTGGGATAGGCTGGCTCATGTGCCTGTGCTGGCTGGGATGGGCTGGCTCATATCGTGCCTGTCGACTTCTGGGATTAAAGTAGTAACTGCTGTCTTCTCCCCACAGAATGATCTTCAGGCAGCAAACTGAACCCAGCACAACTGAAGTCAGGCAAAGTACCAATGAAAATCAAACCCTCTACAAGACTTTCCCAGGAAATATTAAACCAACAACATCCTTATGATTAAGGAAATAAGTAGCATTAGTCTTCTTAGCAGGCCCAGGACCCTTTAGAATTTCACCAGCTGTCAAGGAGAACAACTCAGGGAAATGGGCACTGTTGTAATCAACTCCTTAATAAACAGACTCTTCATGCAAAAATTTTTAAATGACTCTTGTCCTCAATTCCCGTGAATAGATATCTTGTACATTCATGACTAAGCGAAGAACTTCTTACGTGGACAAAACAAAATAATATGAATGATGAGACAGCAAAACCCAGTGCTCGCTAGTACTCTGAGGGACAATCATGACAGTGATTAAACGTTTCAGCTCCTTACCTCCTGTTACACTTTAGAACTGGAATGACCCCCAAAGGCCCAAGTGTTAAAGGCTTGGTCCCCACCTGATGCTACTGGGAGGCAGAGGTACCTTTAAGAAGTGGTGCCTAAGTCAGGTGTGGTGGCACACCCCTTTAGTCCCAGCACTTAGGAGGCAGAGGCAGGTGAATCTCTGTGAGTTCAAGGCCAGCCTGGTCAACAGCAAGTTCCAGGCCAGCTGGGGCTACAGGGAGACCCTGTCTCAAAAAAAAGCACCAAAGAAAGCTCTGGGCCTGATCCTGCCCTCACCTCCCTATGCTTCCCTGGGCTGCATGGCCCACCAGCCTCTTTCCTGGAGGCTGCAGGGGCTGACCTCTAAGCTCGGGGCCACCACTGCTTCCTGATCCCTTGTATCCAGATGGACCCATTTTCTTCTCAAGGTCCCCAGGAGTCCTCTGGGCCTGGTCTTGTCCTCACCTCCCTCTGCTTCCCTGGGCTGCTCATCCCTCTAGCCTCTTCCCTGAACACTGGGGCTGACCTTTCGGCTTCCTGATCCTTTGATTCTAGATCAACCCAGTTCCTCAGGGCAGTCCCCAGGAGCCCTTGGGCCCTCGTCCTGCCCCCGTCTCCCTTTGCATCTCCAGGTGGCATGGCCACCAGCTGCCCAAGACCAGCATCTTTTCTGGGCCCTGCTCCCAGGCCAGTCCAACCTCCAAATTCCTGAGGCCAAAATCTTTCCTGGAGGGATCCAGACCTTAGGAGAAAGCCTGAGGGCATCTGATTCTCATCTGATTTGGGCCTCTGTGGGAACTCCTGAAGACAAAAGCAATCTGGCCACTCCAATATAAAATCAAAATAGAGAACCCGAAGCTTAGATGAACCAGCTTTTCATGCCCAAAAAGTAAACATCAAAGGCACATAAAGTTTACAAAAAGAAGCAGACCTAAACTTGAAAGCTTGAGTCTCATTCAAGAATCAGAAACTACAAAAGAAATTCACATGTCAAAATCACAAAGAAAAAATAATAACATGAAAAAAAATAACATATCCCCACCAAATACCAATAGTCCTCTAGAGGAGTACAATGAGAACCCCCTAGAGATAATGCAGGACATGGAACT